CACACACACACACACACACACACACACGCACGGCTATTATCTGGCATCTGTCAGTGGCAAAAGAATATGTGGATGAGAGAGGGGAACGCCAGAGACGTGGAGGAAGACGTTTGGAAAATTGCAGGGGAATCTCATGAGGCATTCACGTACACAGACAGACACACACGTACAATATCTCAGTGCGTTCAAGGCCATCGGAGGACCACCTTTCCCTTTGCAGGATCGTACACACGTAGGAGCAACAAAAGAGACGTCTGCCAACGAGGTGGGCCTCCCCTGCGGCGCTCCTTCCTGCAAGCCGATGAAACATTGCTCTAAAACGTGAGCTTGATGTTCAATAAAATCTGCAATCACCGGTCGGACTACTTTACTTGCATTGCCGGAGTCAGCTGATTTTCTTTTAAAGCCTCTCTCTCGGAATGCAATTTGTCCGCAGGCCTGGTGTTTACACGGTTCCTGCTTTGTGAGCCGAGGTGCATTCGCCCGCGAGAACAAGGGGCTCATTGTGATGCTCGGGTAACGTGGATCCCCAAATTGATGGACACACAACAGGGTCATCGTTCATTTGCATTTTGAGCAAGTCCTTCAGCTATGACACCGGATCGTGTGAATCATTGCCACACAGGGCTGCAGTTCATCCAGCCATCTATTAGTAACGCCAATTAGTTTACTGGGACAGGTTGAGGGCATGCAGACTCACTCAGGCAACTAGAGCTGCCCAAACTTTTTCATGTCGAGGCTCCCATGACAGACGTTTGATTATGGTTTTTGTCTCAGTGACCCACATTTAGAAAATGAAGTTAGATATGATTTCACAGCAGCAGTGTGAAATCCCTCATCAGTAATGCAGTTTAAAGTGCAATAAAGATTTATTTGGTGTAATTGTAGCATGACTAACGCCTCAATGAATGATCAGATTTATTTTCAATATAAGCTGGTTGGAACACAATTATTATTTTGTTAATTATGTTTTAGGGACCCCCTTTTATGTCCCTTGGGTTCACCTTGGTTAAGGCACTTAAAAACGTTGTGTGAGACAGCTTCCCCTTTTTTCTGGGCACACAGAAACACATTTTCTTTTCTTTTCTTTTCTTTTAGATCTCACGTACCACTCGTATCTCTCCAGCTCTGCAGCACTTCAGGCAGCCACTCTTCATTAAACAAGTATTAAAAATAAATAATACTAACCTCCGGCAGATATATGAGAAAAATACAATCTCACATCAGGCTGTATACAAACCGCAGGTTCTATGGTGAGGACAAGAATATCAGTGTCTGTGTGGGGGGGGTTGAGTTCAGTGAAGACAGACTCAGTTTGTTTTGCCATAACATGTTCATTCAGGTTGGTTTATTGTAAACTGAAACTTACAGGTTAAACAGGCCTTACCACAAAAAAAGCATGGCTTTTCTTCAGTGAGCCGCAGGAAGTTTCAGTCATGTTGGGGGCTGCTGTATTTATCCGAGTATTCATTTAAAGAAGGAAGATTCATGGGGAGGATTTGTAAGATTTTAATGTCAAATTGCGTTTAATTCTCTATTTACCCAAAAGAAAGCCTTCATTTCCACACAACATCCATAGTCACTGAGTTTTTTTTTTTCCTTCTGTAGAGCCGACTGACAATCTGACTGCATCACAAACGGAAGGCAGCCATGCATGTAAACTGTAATAAATGCTGGCGGTGTTTGACAGTCACCATCATTGCGCAGTGAGACAAAAAGAAGGTTATCTTCAGCACATCTATAGTGTTTTTTTTATAATGCAGCAGCATGCCTCGAATTAATTACCATAACTGTTGAGTGTAATATAAAAACTAATATTCTAGTGCAGGGCTGCATCAAACAGTTATGTAATTATAGATCCATCTGTAGATTGTTTTTCCAATCAATTAATGAATGGTTTAGCAAAAAAAAATCTAGCACTGAACATTCATTTAAAAAAAAGGGAAGAGAAACAAATCCCATTTGAGAAGTTGGCAAAATGGAATGGCTGTATATCTTGAATTGAAAAACACATTAAACAATTAGAAAATGGTTTCTGCTTTTGCTGTGATATTCAGTGATGGCCTAATCAGTTATTTGGCTGATTGTGTCGGTAGAGTATTACTGCCTAGAGTCTACTTTAATCGGTATTCAAAGTTGTTTTTTTGCATGTCTCACCATAAAAAAACAGTGCAATGTCTCCCAAAATAGTAGTAGTGTTATCTACTTTCCACTGCTGCAAAGAGATGTTTGGGGTTTTTTCAGGTCTCAAAGTGGTTCTCTGTTATGTCTTTAATTAGCACCTGATTTTTCTTTTTTAGAGCAACACACACCCAAAGCTGTTATTATTTCATGAATGCAACATTAAGCATTAGCATTCTTGCCTCCCTCTCAAGGTGGTGCACCTGCTCACATCAGCTCCGCCCACACCCCCACGCGCACCCCCCTCTGCTCCGACTTGACTACAATACCCAGGCCGCACCGCGGCGCGCTCCACTCTCTCGCGCTCTCCGCTGCGCCAGTCCGCCTCACTGACTCGCAGAACCAGTTGGTTTGGCCCGGCTTCTTCTTCTTCTTCTTCTTCTGCTTCTCTGCCTGCTTACGGTGTGCCGCCGCTGCTGGTGTCAACCCCTCCGCCGACGAGAGAAGAAGACATTATCCCTCCCCTCTCATCTGTTCCGAAGGGGGCCGCTTTCCAATTTGCCTTCCCTCGCTCCCTCGCGGGGCACCATTGGTTGGTTTTCCCAAGCCCCGAGTGGAGCACAACAACTTGAGAAACATTGGCCCCCCCGCAGAGCGCTAGACCCCCCCCTCCTTTTTTCCCCCTAACACACCCCTCCCATCCCCTCCGCCCCCCCCCCCCCCTCACCACCACCACCAGCACCACCACGTCCCCTTCGCCCGCTCGCCTCGGCAGCCTCGTTATGGAAATTAGTCCAAAGTCAATCTAGTTTTTTGTCGCCGCGACGGAAAGAAAAGGGAAGGAGAAGAAGGAGGATTTGACGAGAGGGAAGCGGCGAAGACGTTGGACCGCGTTTCGTCCTGTAAGTGCCGCCTCTTAACACCGGAGTCCGGTTAAAGGAGGCTCAGGAGAGCGAGGGTGGGTTACGGAGAGAGGTGTATGTGTGTATGGGGAAAGGGGGGGGGGGAGAAGCTAAACCTTCCTTAGCATTACTGTGTCGTCTCCTTGCACTATTAGTTGCCATGTTAGCTCGCGCTCCTCTGTGTTTTAGTAGCCGTTGTCATAGCACCGGGGCCTTGCGAACAACTGTAAATAGCTCCATGTTGTAGCCGCTTCGCGTTACTTTTGTTAGCCTCGATCGGGCTAAAGCTAGCTGCCTGGGTCGGTGTGTCTCCGTGTGTGCGTGTCTCTCTCTGTGTTTGTCTCCGTGTGTCCGTCTTCTGCTTAGAGATGTGTTGTTTTTCAGTTTGTTCGACAACAATCTCACGGCCTGCTTAACATCACTGGGACTTTTTTTTTTTTGACCGGTGCTAAATTTCCTCCACGGACCCGAGCTCAAAAACAACAACAACAAAAGTCATTACCGATTCTTCTTTAAATGAAGTTAACGGGCGTGTAGGTGTAATCGATGACAAACTTATTGATCGCGCTGGAGTCTTGCGCGTGTCGCGGCGGTGATCGGAGGACTGTCACGATGTTTGATACAAGAAAACACGCATCGCAGTGGTGCATCAGTTGTGTGCAGCGACCCACGGGTTCCTAACAGTGTAATTATAGATGCTAACTGAAACTCCAGTGAAGTTAATCCAAGTTTAAGTCGTGGGTTTTATTAAGGTCTGAACACTTCACAAGCAGAGCCGACATGTGAGTCACATCTTAATGATATGATGCAAAATCTCTTTTTGTTACTAAACTGTTGACTCGCTTGTGAATTTGAAAGAAATGCGAGGTTATATTAACTAGAAGTGTTTGTGGTTAAGTTATAAACGTACGCACTATAAAACAAAGAAAATAATATAATTGTGTTTCTTTAGCACGACATTGATCAGTAAACCTCAACGTTTGTATTAAAGGCCACCCGTGTGCTGCAGCCGTATTGTAAACTTTATTAAAGGGCGTTTTAGTTTTAGTTTCGGGCACAAAATAAAAATGCAAGAAAATGAGTTTCGTGGCTGATCGTTCACACGCTCCTCGTGCACACTTCCCCTAAAGCGAAAGTGAAGCCGGGCTGCTGCGAGTGTCTCCGCCGGTCATTACAGGCGCGTTCGCCCTTTTGTTTGGGATTTGCACTCATCGGGTTCTTTCTTTATTACGCGTTCTCATTGTTTCCTCATTTCATTTGGGTTCCTGTCAGTTGTCCGAAGTGTCTGGCAAGTGTGTGCGTGCGTGCGTGTGTGTGTGTGTGTGCGCGCGCGTGTGTGTGTAGATAAATGAATGAATGAGTGAATGAATACAAGACGAGGCAGCGGCACTGAACCGTAAAGAAGTGGAAAACAATATCAGCTGCGTGCGTCTGTCAGTTGCAAATGTGCCGTGTTGGCCTTTGTTTATGGTTATTAGAAGACATGTCGAGGAGGACGGGGGTATTTAAAACATCAACTGTCCCATTTTCCCTGTTAGTATTTTATAGCAGTGGGCAGTTGTTGTTGCATGATTTGGCAAGTGGCAACTCTTTTGTGTTTTCCAAAGAGTACATCAGCACTGCGTTTTAGTAGACCCGTGTTTGCTTCCCAGAGAGGGAGAGACAAAGTTGCGTGGTGTTGGTGTTGGTAGAATGAAAGAGGAGTCTGGTGGCAGGAGTGTAGAGGAGGCAGCATATGGCTGTAGAAAGAGCACAGCTGGAGGTAGCATCTCCATCTGAGGATGATGTCAGAGCAGCTGACAGGCTGCCATCCACCCCACCACCTCCTCCTCCATCCCTCCTCCGCCTCCACCCCTCCCCAGTCCTTTATTGTGAGTCTCAGCGGCAGCCTGGGAGAGTTAGTGCTCTGTGTGTGTGTGTGTGTGTGTGCGCTCGCTGGGTATGCATGTGTGTGTGTGTGTGTGTGTGTTTGTTGCTGCCGATCAGCGCCAGTTAGGAGGAGGAGGAGGAGGAGGAGGAGGGAGGTGGTATCTCGTTCCCCCTCCAACATCTCCTCCACTTTGCATCTGTCCCTCGCAGTTTGAACAGCGTGTTTTTTTTTTTGCCTGGCTCCCTCTTCTTCTTCTTCTTCTCCTTCTTCTTCCTCCTCCTCTTCTTCTTCTTCTCTCGTCTTCTACCCACTCATTGATTCAGAGAGAGCAAGCAACGAAGAGAAAGACCGCGATACACAGCCATTCCCAGCCAGAGAGCCCAGCTATTCTGCTACAGTGGAGTTAATCAAGTTGATGCATACTGCTGCAGGTATCGTCTTGTGCGCCAGTGTGCGTGTTTGTGTGTGTTTGTGAGGCAAAGTGAATAGAGTAGAGGGGACCCGCAGTAGTGGAGTAGTTATTGTGTTTTGTTGTGGGGATCTCCGGCGTGTCAAACCAGCGTGAGCGCTGTGTGAAGCTGCTGGTGAGTAGGAAACTCGTGTTGGTGCTGCCGGTCTGAGGTGTAATCGCAGTCCGGGAACTCTGCTGGGTTTGAAGTTTGAAGTCTCGAGGGCTGCATTTAAAACTCTTTTTGCATTTTGTTTGCTGTTTGTGGCGCGAGGCGTCTTTTCCTTCAGAAGTCACTTCAGCGAAAACATTATTTTAAATGGAAGTATTGGGTCTTGTTTTTCCCAGTTAATGTTTTAAAATATTGAAAAAGGGGAAATAATAATTAAAATTGATGCTTTTTGAGACATTTTAATTAAAAATATATATTTTGTCATCTTTTAAATTAGTCTAATTTCAGTCAAGACAGATAAACATTTTTTTTAGTTGACTTAAAGAACAAAAATGCCCAAATTTAAGCATAAAATAAAATTAGCTACTATTTAGTCCTAATTATTTTATCCGTTGTTTTTTTTCTTCTTCTTTAGTTAAATCTAACGCTCAGTCAAATTTACTTGAAAGCATGTGCTGTCTTCTTTCTCCTCCTGTCGGCCGGAGTAGGGGAGACTAATTTAGAAGTTGCAGATTTGAGCTGCCTGAATTGGCTAGACAGCTGTAATCGCACTCCCTCCTAGTCTTAATCTCTTTATCTGGCTAGCAGCTGCCATATGGCCCCCGTCAGCTGGATCAGATGTGGGTAAGCCTCCCTCCCCGGCCGTCCCGGCCTCTCCCTCTCCGCCTCTCCCTCCCTGCCCCTCTGTGTGTCTCCGTCAGACCCCTGCCTGAGCTAACTGGCCGGGCCGGGCGGCGGGCTGCTGCCCTCCTGAGCCTCCGCTGGCGGCTCCCTCCCCACCGCCGCCGCCACCGCCTTTATTTTTAGCCATCTTTAAGGATTAGGATTGATGCTGTGACGAGCAGGGCACTTACAGTGATTGTATTGTAAATCTTCTCTTCTGGGTGGTGGTGGTGGTGGTGGGTGGGGTGGGTTTGAGGAAGAGGGCAGTTTCTTCTGCGGGGCGGATGTGCGGGGTTTTTTCTGGTAAGATTCAGATGGGAAGGAGCGTGTGTGAGTGACGGAGAGTGTGTGGAAGGAGGAGGAGGAGGAGGAGGTTCCGTTCGGAGGGTTCCGCCCGGACAGGGGAGGTTGAGGGTTTGAAAGGGGAGGGGGGGGGGGGCAGTAGAGGTTGGGAGGTGGTCCACCCATGTCCCCGTAAGCCCCCTCATTTGAGGCAGTCTGAAGGAGCCGGAGGGCGAGTGCGCACACACACATAGATGAGACGCACACGTTCACGCACACTATCACACACGGGGACATTCTTGGTTTGGCTTCATTCAAATGAGGTGATTTCGCCGCTTCGGTCAACGCGGGGCAGAGCGGGGCCGATGTATTGTCTCAGGCAGGACAAATGGACTTGGTTAACAGGTGGGACTAAACCATCATGCAGATCTCAGTCTCCTCTTCGCCTTCTGTTCCCGCATTTAGTCGTTCATTCATTTTATCAACTAGATGCACTCTTTTTTTTTTTTAAGGAAACTTTGAGGTGAAAAAAGTTTCAATATTTTTTTTTATCCTCCCTCCCATCGTCTTCAGCCTAAAGCCGGCGATCGCAGGTTAAACGGGGGACAAGCTGTTTTGTTTTCAATTGGCCAGTTTTTCCTGCTGGACTTAGCCTGTGGAGGTGGTTGGTAGGTAGGCTGGTGTGTGTGTGTACGCGAGGACAGTGTGTGCAGCTGAAAGCCGGTTACCTAAAAGGGCTGTGCCAGGCCAGGCCAAAGTGGGTTAATAAAAATAACCAGCGTAGGTGCAGCGACAATCCAGCAGTGCAGGCAGAGGAGTTTGAGAGAATCGGAGAGAAGGCAGAGAAGAAGCTGCTGACATTAAGTCCGTCTCTGGGTAAAAAGGGAAATAGGGATTATTCTGTAAATACTGTTATTCCTTTTAATTGTAATCGTCGTCAGTCTCCCCCCCCCCCCATTTCTTTTAATTTACCGCAGATGAAGAATATAGTTGATGAAATAATTTCAACAATCGGCATCGCTGTACCAACAAACGTGTGCATGACTACAACTATCAGCGTGTTTTAAAAAATGCCGTGATTGTGAGTAAAAGAAAATTATGGCTGATCCAGTATGAATTCAGCGTTTTAAATATGTGTGGTATATTGGCATTTTTTTTGTCGTATTTTAATTTACCTTTTTGGTGATAACAATGTCCGTTTTCCTATTTTTTACTGACATATCTATTCCTGATGTGTTCTTTTCGCTTGTATAGTTTCTTTCAGCATCACTTATGAATGTGTTTTGGTCATTTGTCTCCTCTTATGTATCTGTTATTTATTTGTTAATAATATTTGCAATTTTTAGTAAACAGGGAAGAATGTCAAGATCTTTTAACTTACATTTGATCTTCTTACACAATTAATTAAAACATTATAAGTGTTATTTATAGAAAATCAAATTATATTTAAATTGTCTTTAGTAGGTTTTACTTTTACTTTTACATTTCGTGGTGCCTTTTTTTTCTGCCATCTCCGCTGAACACTAAAAAAGGAATAAATATTTGATTGAAAATAGAACAACTGAGTTCAAATATTGCAGAACCTCTTTCAACATTAAATGTGTAAATGTCAAGCCTGCCCTCACGTATCTTTGTCATCTGTATCTAACTTTGACTCTGCCTCTGTGTCTATGTAGGTTATGAGGACGGCAAGATGGAGTTCCCAGACCACAGCAGACATTTACTCCAGTGTCTGAGCGAGCAGCGGCACCAGGGCTTCCTGTGTGACTCCACGGTGCTGGTGGGCGATGCCCAGTTTCGGGCCCACCGCGCTGTGCTGGCCTCCTGCAGCATGTACTTTCACCTCTTCTACAAGGACCAGCTGGACAAGAGAGACGTGGTGCACCTCAACAACGACATTGTCACGGCCCCGGCCTTTAACCTGCTCCTGGAGTTCATGTACGAGGGCAAGCTGCAGTTCCAGGACCTTCCCGTGGAGGACGTGCTGGCGGCGGCCAGCTACTTGCACATGTATGACATTGTCAAGGTGTGCAAGAAACGCTTGAAGCGGAAGGCCACGACGGAGGCCGACAGCACGCGCAGAGAAGAGGACGGCGGGTCCAGCTGCTCCGATAAGGCCGACAGTCTGTCGGACGGTTCCACGGGCCGCCCCGCCACCGCGGACCTGCTGCACAGCGACGAAGAGGAGGAGGTGAAGGCCGAGGGAGGCCCGCTGTGGCTGAGGCTGCCGTCTGCGGACAGACCGGCGACACCCGCCGTGGCGAGAACCAGCCCGGCTCACGGCGAGGCCGAGATGCAGGGCGGCGAAGGTCCGGGGGAGGGAGGAAAGCTGCTCTCCCCGGCCGGCAGCCCCACCAGCTCCGCCGGGTCCCTCTCGCAGAGGTCCCATCGCTCGGTGAGCTCTCGCGGAGCGCACAGGGGCAGGAGGGTGTCGAACGACGCGTCCGACTGCGTCCTGGACCTGTCTGTGAAGCCCATCGCCGGTAGCAACCACAGCAACCACCACCAGTCCTACTTCAGCGGGGCCGCCACGCCGGACCGCCTCCAGAGCCCGCTGGCGGTGAGGGTGAAAGTGGAGAGGGGCTCGGCTTCGGACGAGGACGAGGAACTGGGCGGCGGGGACTACGACATGGAGCACAGCGGCATCACCAAGGCGACGGCCCCCAGCGTCAACGGGGGCCTGACCCGCCACGGGGTCGGAGGGCCTCTGTCGGCCCAGCGGCGGCTCGGCCTGGAGGCGCACCTGTCCGCCCTGCGAGAGGCCTCCCTGGCCTCGGAGCTGGAGCGCGAGGACAAGCCCTCGGCCACAGCGGACGACGAGGACATACTGGGGGGCGAAAACGAGCGCGCCCAGGCCGAGGTGACCGGCATGGATAGCTCCCTGCTGCCCTACGTCTCCAACATGCTGTCGGCGCAACACACCCAGATCTTCATGTGCCCGCTGTGCAACAAGGTGTTCCCCTCCCCGCACATCCTCCAGCTCCACCTCAGCTCCCACTTCAGGGAGCAGGAGGGCATCCGCTCCAAGCCCGCCGGAGACGTCAACGTGCCCACCTGCACCATCTGCAGCAAGACCTTCTCCTGCATGTACACGCTGAAGCGCCACGAGCGGACACACTCCGGCGAGAAGCCCTACACCTGCACCACCTGCGGCAAGAGCTTCCAGTACTCGCACAACCTCAGCCGGCACGCGGTGGTGCACACGCGCGAGAAGCCGCACGCCTGCAAGTGGTGCGAGCGGCGCTTCACGCAGTCGGGGGACCTCTACCGGCACATCCGCAAGTTCCACTGCGAACTGGTCAACTCGCTGTCGGTGAAGAGCGAGCCGCTGGCTCTGCCCAATGTCAGGGATTGGGCGATCGAGGACAGCTCCCAGGAACTGTGGAAGTAGAAACGGACCGCTGGGTTTTGACGGAGGGAGAGATGGCGGGGAGTGAAAGACGGGCAATGGGGCATGGAGAGGGAGGCGGGGGGGGGGTTTCAAGTGAGTCATGTTCTTGTGTGTCGCAAAATCTCATTCAATTGCACTTTAATAGCACATGAAAATGTTACTACTGACTTTTTGTTTTCGTTGTCGTTGCTGTTCGGGGTAGTTTTGCCGTATTCTATTTTATTCTGTAAATCCATGGCATAGGTTTCTGTTTGGTGTTTATTATTTTTATCGCGTCCTGAGGACACGCGGGACGCAGCGAGAGCGCCTCGCCTTCTCCAAGAGTTTTTTTTTTTTTTTTTTTCGCTCTCGTTTGTGTCTCACCTCAGACGCGTCACTCCCGGCGCTGCCCGGCGTCTCGGCCCCAGTCCCACCGGCGGCAAACGCCGGGCGCATCAGATCAGGTCGAACACACTGAAGTGAAAAAAAAAAGCATAACAATACACTAAACGGGTACTGTGATCGCCTCGCACACACAGTTTGAAGAAGTGTATGCGTGTGTGTGCGTGGTTGTGTCTTGATACTGCACTACTCTGGCAAAACCTTCACCTGGCGTGCGTGAGTGTGTACGAGCGTGTGTGTGTGTGTGTGTGTGTGTTGATTTCATTTTTCTACTGGCATAGAGTTGTCGTTGGTGAAGCGCTCCCCGCTTGGCCCGTTAAGCGCTTTGGTGTTGTGCGTTCAGGGTGAAGCTGACTGACTGACAGACGAACCGATGGCACTCATGCAATGCACAGCTTCCTTTTTTTTCACTTCCAATCAATTTGAAGTATTTTCTAAAAATGTAAAGACCTTTACAAAATTATTATATTAATTATTATTGTTATTAATAGATTTCTTTTCTTAAATCTAGCTGGCAGTCTTTAAAGCATCTCTCGTTGAAAAGGTATTTAATTTAAGGTTGTTGTATATTGTTCTACTATAGTTTTAGAATTTAAATCAGTTTAAATTCTTTTCCTTTTTAAATTAATGATTTTTTTTTTTTTGTATTACTTTTTTTTTGTAATGGGACCTGCTGTTGTTGCATGACGTCCAAACCTGTATATTTTAAAATAAAAATGTGAATTTGCTGTATTACTGTACACATTGTAATTGATCAAATATTTGACAACAGGCTTTCCTTTTCTTTTAATTTCTTTGTGAATACTACTCCAGGGTGCGGCCTGTTAAAAAACTGAATATTGTTCTGACAAATATGGGGAAAAAAAATGCATGAACATTTGATTTTGTCTTAAACCTTAAGTTGTGTTTTATTTTGTTTGTTTTTTTGCATCGGGAGGGAGAAGTTTGAACATTACACTTTTGACAGTGACTTGGCGTTGCGGGTCGCTGGGCTCCTAGAAGAATGTTACCGAATGTGTTTCCGTCGGATGCTGAAGCGACGTGATGAAGCGTTTTAAGCCTGTGTGTACATGCACTGATCTCTGCGCGCCTGTGGCTCGGTTGTTACCAGTCATATTCAACCTACTGAAGATCTACGTCCACCCAGCACTTCCTCCTCCTCCTGCTCCTCCTCAGGCGTTCGCTGTGTGTTTCTTTCCCACCTCTCACGTCTCCGCCTCTAGAAGGTGGTGAAGCCGTTTCTTAATTACTTCTGCGTATCGGGCACTTACTTCAGGTCTGTTGGCGGCAGTTATGTGGCTCTGACCTTTGTGAATGAGGGCGACGGAAAGAGAAGCATCTGTCCCGCTGGAAGATAAAGGGTCAGATATGTTTGTGCCGCGCTGATTCCGTACAAACGCACGGCGTGAATGTGACACGACGTCTGTACGTCTGCTTTCCTCTTAAAGCGCAATCCTTACTTTGAGACCGACGACACAGATTTGGCCTGAAAGCACCTATTTAAGCTAAAAGACATGAAATTGACTTGACTTTTTTTTGCTGAAAAGTTGCCTTTGTTAAAAAAAAAAAAAAAAAAAACATTTCTGACGCTATGAAAGTATCTGATACTTTAGCGCTTTGGGGCATATTTGTGTAACCTGTGCATAAATTCATGGAATCTATTGAATTTATCAGAAAATAATCTTATTTTTTTGAACATGTGATTGGAAAACTCATTTTCGTATGCGATCGTTGTGTTTTGGGTTTTCGGGCAACATGAGTTTAATATTTTTTTTTTTTTTTTTGGAAACCTGAAATTAGAATTCAAAGTAACGGTCAAGCGTTTATACAATCCAAAAACATTTGACACTGAAAGGTTGAACGCCCCCCTCCCCTCCCCCTCCCTGCCCCTCACTCGGCGTGTTTATATGTGCGAGTGCGCGCACACGCCCCCGTTGATGTGCATGTGGTGGGTGGGGTGGTTGTATGTGTTGCCCTGTCATCTGGTGGCACCTACAGGCTTTGCCAAGGCAACCGCGTGGGCGCCGCTGGGCCGGTTTGCAGCGCGCCGGCTCGTTTCTTCTCCTCCTTCTCCTCCTCCTCCTCCTCCTCGAGACGCTGTTTCTTCACTGGCAGCGTCTCTGCATATGTGCTCGCTCCATCCTGCTGTTGTTTTCATCATTACTGCTGTTTCTTTTTTTTTTTTTGTTTTCCGTTGCTCTGGTTGTACTTGACCGCCTTAAACTGCTGTAGTCCGGGCTGTTATATTTGATTTGATTTTCAAAGTGTGAGCGCGCGGTGGAGTCGTGGGAGCGACGTCGACCGCTTCGAGCCGCTGTGAAGGAACCACCCCGACGAAACATCTCCATCTTTTGCTGTGCTTACTTGAAAACAAAGGGGAGGCGGGAGGGGAAGGGAGGGGGGGATTTTTGTTGCAAGGTATAAAAATAAAATTAGACAGACATAGACAGTTTATGGAAGGACAGATGGGGCAGACTGAGTCTGTTTTGAAAAAGGACAATCACTGTCTGGGAAAAACGAGCGGATTTGGATTCAGATGTATTTGCTCCCTCTTGAGATTACATTTTTTATTTGCTTTTATTTTTATGTTCCTTTTTTCAGATGTAGTCATTTTTAGCTTTGACAATCATAGTTGGGTTGATTTATTTTTTTCTAAAGGGGAGTAAATTCTAATTGTGTTTTAGTTTTGTAATTTTTTGGTGTGCTGTTGTTGACATTTTTAAATTGTGTGCAAACTGCAATAAATTATAAGAATCTTGAAATTCAACCTTTGTGTAAAGCCTTTTTTTTTCTTTACACATTTGGATTCATATTCTAATGTGTCATTTTACCAACAATATTTTTGTTTTATAACATTTCTTAGCATCTCTAAATAGGGACAAATCCCAAATGCTGGTCTTACTTGCAGCTCACGTGCACAGACACAGTTACAGGTCGCAGGAGGTGTTCACATTCTGTTCCCCAGTGACTTGCGATGTGGGTGGAAGTTGTGTTAGTGTGTGTGTGTGTGTGTGTGTGTGTGTGAGAGGGCGAAAAAAAACTCACTGTGTGCTTTCGCGCTGCTGCACAACTCCTGGTGGAGCTGCTGCGCCGACGGAGGCTGCGTGTGACAAGTAAATGTGCAGCAGCTTGTTGAGCTTCAACCCCCTGCAACACACACACACACAGAATCAGCCTCATTCCAAAGCTCCTCAAGTGCGGTTTTCCAGTAAGGAAATCAGCTTTAGCTAATGTATTGCTGCTCAGTAAACCTGCTCTTACAGATGCTTAAGAACTGCACAGAGGCCAAGGAGCAGCGCTCATTAGGCCCCAGATGGTCTCCTCGGTAAGCCCCCGACGCACACCCACGCCATAAGCTCTCCCCTAATCTTTATTACGCTGTCTGATGAAGGCCTGATATTGGTGTAAGAAACATAAAACGATTTAGGGTCCGTTTTCCAGGAGCTCCATCCTTAACGAGTTGGTTTAATAGTTTTTAAAAGGACGAGATTAATGTGAAATTCAAAGGCGAGAAAATAAATCTCTTCTTTTAAACTTAATGTGTTCATTTAAAAAAAACATTTTTTTACTTTAAATGCGCAAACTATTCCAAAAGTCTCAGTTTCTGGAGACGCTTTCAATTGTCGTTTAAGGCAGCCGGGCGCCATGGCGACTGCTGTAGAAAATACAGCCGCCATATCCTTCGGTTACGCGCTGCTCGCTGATCATTAATTGCAATCTGCGGCGTTGCAAGTGAACATCTGCTTACGGACAACTGCTCGCAACTCGCGCTCCCCGCGAGGAGGCCGTGCGAGGTTTTTCGCTGTGAATGTAGGTCATTAATTTGTTTCTGTCCTTTGTTTACTTAAGGAAGGGGGACAAAGGGGCAGCTGCAGAACCATTTGGCTGTGCCCAAGGCAGGCCAGCTCAACATGTTGGGAGGCCGAGACCAGCTTGGGCTCCTGTCTGGGGGCCCGGGCCCCTGCACTCTGCCGCTTCGCGTGAGGGAGCCGCCTATGCCAAGCCGTACCAGGACGTTGAGGAAGTGGGGGAGGGCGGGGGGGATTAAAGAGATGTGGACCCGAAGCGTCCTGATGTTTGGGGGTTTGTTTTTACGACACATTTTCAAACCAGCTCCCAGCCCGCGTCTCCAAACTGACGTCTGAAGTTTGTTCTACTTGTGAAGGAAACAGGCCAGGATCTACTTCCTTGTCTTGAGCGGCACTTTCTTTCTCAATATGCATTTTTGAAAATTCGAGCATTCGGAACGAGACGAGACCACGAAGCTTCGAGGTCGCAGCGCGCCGACGGGGAGAAGACGGCCTTCTGCATCCTGCTCATGCCGGAGACTTGTTGATTCTCTGTGAGAAAAAGGAAACACTCCCAGGCCACGTCTAGCCATGGAAGAGAAAGAGGAAAGCAGGGACATGCGTGTGTGTGTGTGTGTGTGTGTGTGTGTGTGTAAGTGATCGAGGATTGTCTGCATATTTAAAAGAGCCCCTTTGTCAGGCACTCAGCACAGCAGGACAGAAGGCGAGCAACAAGCGGCCCGCCTGCAAGCAGACAATACAGTGGACCTACTCTGGCTGGGGAGGGAGGCGAGGGGGGCGGTGGAGAGAGAGAGAGGGGGGGAGGTGGGATATTTTTTTTGGGAAAATCAGGGGGCACAGTGTCCCAGCAAGCCATCCATCCGTCCAGCCACCCACTGCAGCCCCCCCCGACCCCCCCTCCCCTTCCCCCTGGCTGAAAACAAAAGGCGACGCAACCCGAACTTGAATATCTGTGTGTCTCGGTGAGAGGGGGGCGGAGGGAGGGAGGGAGGGGGGCCCAAATACTACTTATCCATAACCCCCCCATCCCCCTTTCTTTACCCCACACACACACACACACACACTCATATATAAACACACGTATAAGAAAAACTCAGATAAGAGTGTTATTCAGCGATTCACACACTTGCAAGCGCGCACACGGACGGAGAACACACACACACACACACACACACACACACAAAGGCCTCCAGCTGGTCTGTCTTTAGCGCCGGGCTACGATGGGATTAAACAGTACTTGTCCTTTGTTTGATTCTTGTGTGGAAGGAGCGCCGCTGTGAACTCTCCACATAAGAGAGATAGAGACGTGGAGAAAGAAACAACAGAGGACGGGAGGAAGGGACATAAATCTTTCAACATAAAGGATTCACTTGAAGACGATCCTGAAAAACAGACAAATTAATTGGATTTCAGGTTAAAGAAACAATGACGCCCTGCAGAAAGAAATGAAACCTCTTTTCACGCGACCCTCTCCCAGCTGTGTGTGTGTCTGCCAGATAAGGGGCATTACCAGGGCGTGTTCGGGGTGTTGTTGGAAACTGCTGGCACCGGGACACATGTGCACGACTCAGCACTTTATCATCGCCATGGTGACCTCACGGGGTAACGCAGGGGAGGGGCCTATTAATGTCACCAGCTCAGCTGCGTAGATGTTAACAGCGTTACTGTATACGTGTGTGTGTGTGTGTGTGTGTGTGAACATGTGTGTTTCGGGCATCTGCTGCACCTGCCTGCTGAGTTGTACACATGTATAAGCACACACACACACACACACACACACACACACACACACACACATCCAGCAAGCAGCTGTGGTGTTGTGGAAGTCAAGTTCATTCTCCCTGTTGTTTCCTTCCTGCTGATGAAACAGTGGAGACATGATGAAAGACACACACGCACGCACACACACACACACACACACACACTTGCATCATCCTATCTCCACATCTGCACAGAGAACTTGTGGTGAGCTGATATGATTGTATCACAAACAACCTACACACGGCTGAACAAACATCCACAAAAGAGACCAAAATGAATTAAAAACGTCATCTCAAAAACCACCACACCTCTCGTGCAATAAGAACAGACTGAAGGATAAAAACCACTGGTTTCAGGACACACTAAACTATCTCACATACAAAATAGCATAATAATGTGGCCATGTGTCATCACTGTGTAACTGCGCATGAATTTTAGTTTGAAGTTGTGTGAAGGCATCCGTACATCAGCTCACGTTGATTCCACTCACCTGAACTTTGTTCAACTCTCAGATTCTAAAAACACCAGTTTGACTCACGTGTCACACCGACATCTTACCCCACCGACGCAGAAATTGACACCAATTTATGCAAACAATATGTCGAAAGATGTCCGCTGCGCCATCTATTTGCCTATTCATCATATGCCGACATTTTCTTGACACAAGGAGAGACATCGAAAACACTCCGTGACAGCGGAGAGAGCGTGCACGTGAGGAGTTATCTGGCGCACATGCGTGCACGCGTGCCGTTGCGGTGTGTATTGTGTGCGTTTGTGTGTGTTCTCTCACCCTGTGTTGCCAACCTCTCCGCTCCCTCCCAGCTCTGGCCAGGCACGACCCATCTGTCACATTCCTCCTTCCATCCCGTCTTCCATCCCCCCCCCCCATCCGCCGCATCCATCCCTCCCTCCGCGCACCCATCTTTCTTTTCCATCCCTCCTGTTTCTCTTTCCTGCCGCCATCCCCCCTCGCCCTGCTCCTCCCTTTTTGTCCGCTCCGCTCCGTCCGGCAAAGCGCCAGACGTCCCCGTTCTACAACCTCTTTTTTTTTTTACTCTCCAAGAAGTCCCCTTCCTCGTCCTCCTCTTGCTGCTTTCCTCTCACCTCTCTCACTCTCTCGCTCTCTGTTTTTACTGTCTGTGTCGGGCGGCCCGGTTTGAAGCGATGGAAAACAACAACATGTAGCCACTCCAGCTCGTGTAATAACAACAATTGTCGTCATCAAGAGATAACACAACCGAGCCCGAGAGCTTTTCTTTCCCCCCTTGTAGGCCCAGCTACTTGAGGCCAGCGTGGGACCCTGCAGGCCCATGTAGAGCCCTAAGGCCCAGTGTTACTGCTCCGTGCTGAAACAAACTGCTCCAATCTGGGCTACAGAGACAGGGGTCCTGCCTAGGGAACTGGCACTGTTTCTGCGCATGTGTGTGTGTGTGTGTGTGTGTGTGTGTGTGCGTAGCGTAGCATCAGGGGTGTAGCCCGGGGTGTACTGGCATGGCTGTGCATTGGATTATTGAAGGCAGCTTGGGACCATCTGTATGGTGGTGGGGAAGAAGTGCAGAAGGAGGAGAGGAGACAAAAAGATGTCAGAGGAGACGGCCGTCTTTATTTTTTTGCGTCTTTGAAATTGTTTCTTGGCTTTTGCTTCAACAAATGCAACAAATTCAACAGAACTGAGCAGCTTCAGTTGCATCGCCGTGGCAACGCTGGATGTTGTCACAGGTCTGCTCCTTCGTCTTGGGGGACAGTGGTACCCACGTGAGGGGTCAGGGACCCCCCTCCATTTGGACTAGGACAGCAAAAAGGGAACAGGATATCAAAACAGAACTTGATTAAACTATAGATCTATAAACTTCGACCACCAGCAGGTCCACATTTATAGATCTATAGTTTAATTAAGTCAACATTTACCAGATGGATCGGCATCGTACCGACATTCATGGTTCCCAGAAGACGTATTCTATGTATAATGAATAATGCAGTTAAACTGAGTTCGGACTTCGTTGTCACTCGCAGGAGGAATCGTAATCTTTTTTTGGGATCCTTTAACTTCGTCTTCATCTTGAGCTCTTATCTACTCAAAACTCAACAGGAGCTCATTTGCTAAAACTGTCACAGATAAACATGGTCTGAGCACGATTAGAAGTTATACACGTAAGTCTGGGAAGATTCTCGCATGGGAAGGTCAGAGGTCAGAGGT